TTGTGGAATCTGACTCTAAAAGTGGCTTTTCTAACAGCAGTATCATCTGGTAAAAGTGTCAGAACTTTAAGACCTAGGTGCGGAAGAGGACCACATTACTTTCTACCCAAATAGGGCAAACTGCGTGGATTTGTTCCGAAGGTCTCTTCATTTTCCAACATTTCTGAACCATGGGCTCTGCCAACCTTTTCCGGTACCCTCCATGAGCTCAACATTGCCAGTGTGTTAAGGCGTTACCTTCAAGCTACAGCATCCTTTAGGGATTCGTCTAATCTATTTATCATCCCTTGGGACAAAAACAAGGGAAAGGAGGCTTCATCAAGAACAATTGCTTCATGGATAGTCAAGTTAATTCATAAGGCGTACAGGGCCAGGGGTTTGGAACCCCCCGCTTCAATCAGGGCACATTCGGCCAGGTCTGTCATGGGCAGCCAGGGCAAATAGAGAGCATCTACATGGTCACCCCAGCACACATTTAGGAGACACTACAGAGTGGACCCAGAGACTCTCTCATCTGTGGAGTTCAGCAGACAAGCTATCAGGATGGCCATTGCCTGTTCAAAATGATAATCCTCCTACCTTTTGAATAAAATGTTTTTCTAAGCATGATCCCACCCATTTTTGCTAGTTATTTATCACAGGTATACTGCCATGGAGGCACCAGGAAAACAGAAAATTGTACCATACTTACTGTAATTTTCCTTTCCTGGTGCCTATCCATAGCAGCATACAATTCCGCTCAATATTACAGAGAATTCTGGGGGTACCTTAATCCTTTCTTTTTATATATTCACTGGTCCTGAGGGAGGAGTCTAAGGCAGAGCTTATCACAGGTATGCTGCCATGGCTAGGCACCAGGAAAGGAAAATTACTGTAAGTATGGTACAATTTCCTATTTTTTTGTCCTCTAAAACTTATGTGTGCATTGACACACAGGCTAACAGGCAGGGGTTAGAGGTAGAAAAAACAAAACAAAACACACTGACATACACCCCTAGGAGCAGCAATAAAAATGGCCAGAGTGCATGAGGTCTCAAAAATGCTTTTTTTTTTAAAGTTTTGGATAGAGTGGAGAGGGATTAGAACCTCTGCCAGTTTTTATTGCTGTCTGTGTCCCAGGTAGGGAGATCCACCCTCTTCATTTGTCCTGTGTACCAAACACACCAAACATAAAAGTAAAAGAAACTAATGCATGGGTTTCCTCCCACACCCCAAAGGATATGCTGCTCGTTTAATTGGCTCCTGTCTAAATGGTCCTGGTATGTGTATGTACACAAGATTCCTTAGATTGTAAGCTCAGGGCAGGCACTGGTGTGAATACAATAAATGGAGCCATGCAAATTATCCCTGCTGTAATAAATCGATGATGCAGCCAGGTATTAACACTATAATAAGGGTGTAGGGGAGATGATATTAGGGGCTGGCTGTGGAAGGTTGGGGGGACTATTGAAATTTCCCCATTTTTCAAATTTAAGATCACACCATTTCACATCAATTCCTGGCCCTTGTCAACTCCAGGCTGAAGTCTTGGTGTAGTGGTTATGTGGGAAAACGTATGCAATAACATCAACTTGTAATAGCTATGCCAACTGGGTGGAGCTGGGAATTCCCACGTAGACATTAGTGAAGGAGTTCCCACAACACAAAATTTGAATCTACTGTGCAAACACACTTACGTAGTCACCTCCCTGGCTGTTTGGAATGGACTCACGTCCACAAAAGAACATATAAATCAAAATCCCTTCATAGTGATGAAATGTTGTGAAGAAGCAAATAAAAAAAATACATATACATCAATTTACAACATTCATGTGTAGTGTCCTACGTTGTGGTCCTCCTTTCCCAAAGATGGGGGATGCAGTGCCTTTGCAGCCAAGACAGCCGAAACAAGAGTTCAAGAGTCCTGGGAGATCCAATGGCACGGATGCTCTTGCAGGTCCTTCTACAGCTGCTTAGAGACCATAGGACATATAGGACCAGACTTCTCTTTCCCTAAATGACTACTCTTGATTACAAGCAGCAGGGTGATGATGACAAAAGGAAAGGGCATGAGCAGACTTAATATGGTCTGAAATTCTAGTAACTGGAAAATATGGAAATCTGGAGAAATTTTTTTTTTTTAAATAGATGTTAGGGTTGGACAACAGTGTGAAGAAAACAAAAAAAGGGGGAACAAAATAATTCATGATTCCGTTGGAATCCACTGAGATTTGAAAGATTCAATACACTTTTATGACATGATAACATCCTGCAATGCTGTACCCAAACAAAATTTATGACCTTTTTTTTATACAAATAGAGCTTTTTTCGGTGTTTTTTTTATCATCACTGGGATTTTTATTTTTTTGTGATATAAACAAACAAAAAAAATGTAGAAAAAACATAATTTTCTACTTTTTGTTGTTATACAAAATATCCAATAAACTCAAATTTTGTCATAAATTTAGGCCAAAATGTATTCTGCCACGTCTTTGGTACAAAAAATTCTCAATACATGTATATTAATTAGTTTGTATGAAAGTTATAGAGTCTATAAACTATAGTATATATATTTGAATTTATGCAGGTTTTACTTTCTGACTGCCTATCACATTTCTTGGGTGCTAAAATGTCAGGATAGTACAAACCCCTCCCAAATCACTCATTTTTGGAAAGTAGATACCCCAAGGAATTTGCTGAGAGGCATGCTGAGTCCATGGAAGATTATTTTTTGCCAACATTTTTTGGAAATTACATTTTTTTTTGTTTTACACAAAGTTGTCACTTAAATGATATATTGCTCACACATGCCATGGGTATATGTAGACCCCAAAACACATTCTGCTTACTTCTCTCAAGTAGGGGGATACCATATGTGAGAGACTTTTTGGCAGCCTAGCCACATACAAGCCCTCAAAATCCAATGATCACCTTCAAGATTTAAAAGGGCATATTACCTTACTATAAGTCACTTCCTCACTACCTATCACCGTTTCAGAGGCCCTAAAATGCCAGGATAGTACAAACACTCTCCCCAAATTACTCCTTTTTGGAAAGTAGACAACCCAAGTAATTTGATAAGAGGCATGGTGAGTTTTATTCAGATACCATTTTTTGCCACAGGGTTTTGAAAAAGAAAAAAAGAGAAGAAAAATGCTTTTTTGTTTTCTCTCTTCACTTTCCAAAAACATGCAGCAACAAATGAGATCTGCAAAATACTCACCATGCAAATACCTTGGAGTGTCTACTTTCCTAACAGGGGTCATTGGGTGGGGGGGGGGGTGCTTCTGCTATCCTGGAATTTTATAATTTTATGCCTAACATTAGAAGCTTAAGCCACACATCACCCACTCTTTTAACCGCTAGGAGACTTTTCTGATTTTTTTTGCTAGGAAATGTATTTGAACCCCCAAACATTATATACTGTATATATTTTTAAAGCATAGGTCCCAGAAAATAAAATGGTGGGTATTTCAATTTTCTTGTATGTCACACAGTATTTGCGCAGCTATAATTCAAACACAATTTTTTTTCAAAAATACACTGTTTTTAATTTAATGTACAAAAACACAATATATTGACCAATTGTTTGATAAAATATAGAAGAGGATGTTACCAAATATGACATGCTTTAAAATTGCGCACGTCTGTGCAGCGGTAACAAACTATGTAAATTTTTAATATCCATAGGCGATGCTTTAATAGCCTTTACAGGTTACCACTTTAGATTTATACAGGAGATCTAGTGCTATAATTACTGCCCTCAATCTGATGTTTGCAGTGTTACCTCACAAGCATAGCGAAATCTCTGTTTACATACTGACACTGGACCGACGCTTGCGTTCGATTTTGCGCGCGAACAATGGAGGGGCTGATTTTTTTTAAATTATTTATCTTGATTTTTTCTTTTGTCCCTTTCAAATTTTGTATCACTTTTATTGTTATTACAGGGAATGTAAATATCCCCTGTGATAGCAAAAGGCGGTGACAGGTACTCTTTTCTGAGAATTCTGGAGTCTATTAGACTATAGATCTCTCCTTTGCTATTAAAGCATTTGATCACACCATCCGGCGAAACTGAAGTGATGAAATGCTCATAGCTTCTGGTTTCTTAGACTATAGAGATGATTGGAGCTATTTCGGTCTCCGAACAGCTCTATGGTCAGCTGGCTGCATTCTCAGGTTCCCCGCTGGGACGGGAGAGCCCTATAAAGCAGTAAAAGGTGGCAGGACACTGTACTAAGGGTACTGGCTGGGTGACAGTGTGATCAAAGGGTTAATAGGGGCGATCAAAAGGGTTAAATGTGCTAATCTAATGCTTGTGTGTAAAATATAGTGCTTTTACTGAGTGTGTTCTCTTCTCTCCCTGGACCAGCATAGGGCAGCAGGCGACACATGCATATGCATGCACACCCAGAAATAGAAAGCAACGTAAGGGTATGGTTGGCAAGTAGTTATTAAAAAAAAACTTGAAAAAAATGTTCTCAACATTCTATTTTTTAACATTATTTTTCTTTTCTTTTTTTTACAGTTTTTTTTAAATACTTTTATCAAAGTAATGCAATGTTACATTGTGCTACCCTGGGGGGTGATCAGGGATTTTATTTTTACACTTTGCATTGCAGGAGCAATAAAGATTATTGCTCTGCAATGTAATGTTTGCTTTGAACTGTCGTGAATGGGATCATGAGTGATCTGTGATTGGCTCCAGCTGGTCACATGGTACAGTGTGCTGTGATTGGCCCATGTACTGTGTGAGAGCTGTGGGCCAATAACAACTCTCCAGGAACAAAAGCAAACCTTTAATGAATCAGATTTTTGTCAGCATTGTGATCATGTGATCGCATAGCATTCACATGATCACTGGATCCCGATTACCGGGATCCGCATTCCACTGTCGCAGTGGTCGCGGGGGGATGCTGTTCCTGTAGCTAACACCTGTCTGCAGTAAAAGTACTGTGGGCAGTCGGCAAGTGGTTAAGGAGCTAATATTCAGTGACTTAAGAGTTACTGCATGCAGCATGGCAATCGGTGGTGCGCTGTGTCCCTGGTACACAGTGGATCATCGATTAGTGGAAAGAGCTGATGAGGTCAGCTCTGTCATGTGTCCAATCACAGCTGATCACATGTAAATAAGTAAATGCAGGTTATCAGCAGTCCTCTCCTCACGCTGACAGCCCGTGAATAGAGGAGATCCGGTAATCGGCATTCCTCAGAGGAGACATGTACACTGATCATCAGGGCACTGATGATCAGTGCCCTGATGATCAGTGTAGCCCCATCAGTGCCACCTGTCAATGCCCATCAGTGCCACATCAATGCCACATATCAGTGCCCATCTGAGCTGTCTACCAGTGCCAGTCAGCGCCACCTATCAGTGCCAATCAGTGCCACATATCAGTGCCACATATCAGTGCTACCAATCAGTGCCACCTATCAGTGCCAGTCAGTGTCACCTATCAGTGCGCATCAGTGCCGCCTATCAGTGCCGCCTAACAGTTCCAATCAGTTCTGCCTATCAGTGCCAGTCAGTGCCTATCAGTGCCAGTCAGTGCTGCCTATCAGTGCCATATATGAGTGTTGCTTTTCAGTGCCCATCAGTGATGCCTGTCAATGCCCATCAGTGATATCTACCAGTGCCTCCTCATCAGTGCCACCTATCAGTGCCCATCAGCCTATCAGTGCCCATCACTGCAGCCTCATTAGCACACATTAGTGAAGGAGAAAAATCACTTATTTACAAACTTTTATAACAGAAACTAAATAATTTATTCCACATTGTGTGATAGGTTCTGTATGGGACCCAGGGGCGGACTGACAACTCATGGGGCCCGGGGCAATAGGGGATCATGGGGCCCCTGTGTCCTTGCCCAAACTCAAAAAAGCCTATGAAAAAGGTACCAGGGGCATCTCATGGGACCCCCTACTGACCCTGGGCCCTCAGGCAGTGCTCGAGTTTCCAAATGGTCAGTCCGCCCCTGATGGGACCTTTCACTTACCAAAACCTCAGAGAATTAAGCACTGTTCTGGTTACTGGAAGCCCACAAGCGAACTAGCCTAACAATCTTGTTCTTTTCTTTTCTGCTCATTTGGGGAAAATTCCTCCGTAGGAGAGCTTTGATTAAACTCTGAGTCCTGGAGGTCCATTGGGACTATTTCAAGTGGTACTGTGCTATATTTTATTGTGTATTCTACCTTATGATTCACGTTTGCGCATATCAGTCTCTAATTCGTCATGTGTATAATATTATTATTATTATACAGTATTTATATAGCACCAAAAGGTTTGCTCAGCGCTGTACATTATAGTGTGGGACAGAACATGAGACAATACAGTAACAAAACAGTACACGAGGGGTTCGAGGGCCCTGCTCTTTCAAGCTTACAATCTAGGAGGGGGGGGGATAGTGGCACAGGAGGAAGTGGCTGTGGGGGATAAGTGGTAGGAGGAGTGGAGGAGATTGGCTGTTAAGTGAGGGTGGGGTAGGCTTCCTTGAAGAGATGGGTTTTCAGGGTGTGCCTAAAGGTGAGGAGGGTAGGTGACAGTCTGATAGATTGGGGTAGTGAGTTCCAGAGGATGGGGGAATGCCTGGAGAAGTCCTGCAGTCGCGCATGGGAGGAGGAGACCAGGGAGCTAGAAAGTAGGAGGTCTTGTGAGGAGCGAAGAGTACGGGTTGGGCGGTATTTGGGTATCAGGTCGGTGAGGTAGTTTGGGGCAGCGTTATGAATGGCTTTGTATGTCAGTGTTAGTAGTTTGAATTTAATGCGTTGGGCAATCGGAAGCCAGTGGAGGGTTGGTAAGGTGGATTAGTCTGGCCGCAGAGTTCAGGATAGACTGGAGTGGGGATAGCCTATGTTGGGGTAGGCCAGTGAGAAGGGAGTTGCAGTAGTTCAGGCGTGAGATAATAAGGGAGTGAACGAGTTGTTTAGTAGTGTCTGGGGTTAGGTTATTTTGGAGATGTTGCGGAGGTGAAGCCTGCATGAGTTTGCCAACGATTGGACATGGGGTTTGAAGGACAGTTTGAGTCTAGGGTAACACCTAGGACTTTGGCTTGCGGGGTGGGACTGATGGTGGCGTTGTTGGTCGTGATGGAAAGGATGGGGGGGGGGAGGCGCAGGCTGGGGGGAAAATTAGGAGCTCGGTTTTGGAAAGGTTCAATTTGAGGAAATGGAGCGACATCCAGTCTGATATGTCGTTCAGTAGGTGGGAGATACGGGTGGAAACTGAAAGGGTGAGGTGAGGGGTGGAGAGGTAAATTTGCGTGTCATTAGAGGTGATAGTTGAAGCCGTGGGAGTGTATCAATTTGCCGAGGGAGGAGGTGTAGATGGAGAAGAGAAGGGGCCCGAGGACAGATATCTCTGCTAATCCATTCTTAATACAGACTGATTTGCTGTTCATCAAACGCTGTGTGATTATTGTGTGTGCTATAGTCTGGAGGATACCTGGCAAAGGTATTATGATGGTGTCAGCAGGGGTTGTGCTCTGGCCAGGGCTCAGAAGTGAACAGGGAATCCAAAATATTCAGTGGCTCTAAAGGGGGTAGCGCTACATACACATTATAGCTGACCTCCTTTTACCTATTTATAAAGTGTTCTAATAGTAAAATCAGTCTGTATATTCGGTAAAGCACGGTTGTTATACTCACTATGAAGCCTAAAGGGTTAATCCTCCACATTGTGTAAAAAGGGTGTTTGATCCCGTCTTCTCTGATCCTCCCCTTCTTTTGTTGTCCCAAATCCATCTGCCATAGTTAGAGCAGCAGTGGCAAGTCTGCACATTGTCTGTATGGTGTGCAGTGCTAGAGAGTTTTTTTTACTTTTTCTTTTGGGAGGGTGATCAGCACGGGGCCAATCAGCATTGTCCAGGCAGAGGGTCAGGGGTTATGCAGCCTCATAGAACAGTCAGAGGAGAATGAAAACTCCTCCTACAAGATTAACCAGTGCTCTGCCAGACACTGATAAAATTCACAAGACTGCTATATACTGCTGGTAAAAAAAGGTATTTAACAGTTTATATTTACTAAAATGATTGCACTTCCATGTTCTGTGTACTGTAGAATACTGGATATAGTGAATGCAGAGTCATGAGTTTAGTACAGGGGCGTACATACAGGGGTTGCAATTGCGACCTGGCCCCATGCTGCAGGGAGCCCGTGAGGCCTTCTCCGTACGTCTGGAAAGGAAGAGCTGCGGGGCCAGCTGCATATAAAGGAACCAATCTTTCCATGTTCCTCCTGCAGCCACTTAATGTCTGTGGGAGGGAGAAGAGGAGAAGTCAGCAATCAGCAACTGCAGGAGGAACATGGAGAGATTAGTTCCTCCATAAGCAGCCACCACCGCTGCTCCTCCTATCCATCTTTTTTTCTGCTGTCCCCATGTGCTCTCCAGCCCCCCAAGCTCTCTGGCTCCTGTACTCTTTCCTGCCCCCCCCCATGCTCTCCAGCCCCTGTGCTCTTTCCTGCTCTCCTCTGTGCTCTTTGGAACCCCGTGCTCTTTCCGGGACTCCCCCCTTGTCCCTCGCAACTCTGTTGGGTACCCCCTCCCCTCTCCTGCTAGCTGCTGTGGGGGATCTGTCAGATCTGCCAGGATGGAGAGCGGGAAGGGGACAGTAAATGTGTTATTTACTGGCCTCTTCCTTTGCACAATGGAGAGTCAGTGATCCATACTGTGCTTACTATGTTTCAGTTTGTGAATGAAGTGAATGAAGTGGAAGTTCTGTACAGAGCTATTCCTATCCATTCATTCAGTGCAGCTGAGGCTGCAGAGATGGAGATTGAGGGCTATGTCCGCAATCTCCTTTCTCTGTCTCAAAGGTGGGACATCAGAGGTCTGTTTAGATCCCTGATATCTCACCAAAGCCCCCCAACAAGGCTCCTAGAAAAAAAGTGTAAAACTAATTAAAAAGAATATTGTAAAAAAAGTAAAAAAATAAAAATAATAACAAAATAAAATAACAAAAATAAAAAAAACTACTGACACCAGTGGTGGAACTACCAGGGCCACAAAGGTTGCACTTGCAACCGGGCCCTAGCGTTCCACCTTCTGGTTCGGTTGGAAGGGCCTCAGCCAAGGGTCAGATGGGCCCTTCATGGTTTCTTGCACCGGGGCCCTGAAGGTTCTAGTTACGCCACTACTTTAGTAACACTTTAAGCAGTTACAGCAGTATTTTTTTCCTTTTAGGACAAAGGTTTTATATAAATGAATGAAAACTCATCATTTTAAGCACCCCTATCAGCATTACAGGGTTTGCCTCAACCCTCTACCTGGACAGCTTGGTCTGTTCAAGAATAAGCAACAAACTTACTGGCCAGATTACCAGGTGAAAAAAACAGAAAAAAGCCTAACCTCTTGTTGTGGTAATTGCCTGTGTAATTTGCACTTTTATGGCCAACTGCCGCACATATGCATTCAGGGGAGCAGTAGGTTGTGTGCTGAGATCACACTCACGCTGTCATCAACAGCTCTCCGTTAAGATTTTTGATCAGTAACCAATGGTATGGTCTCCCGATCATGTGACCATTGGGAAATCCAACCACAGCAAAACTTTGTTTTAGGTTTTAGATAGAGTGGAGAGGGATTAGAACGTGTCAGGTTTTAATTGCTGTCTGTGCCCCTGAAGACTAACCTCTCTATGTGTCATGTTTACTGTAATCAAAGTTCTGGGTTGTCACCAGAACAGGAATAGAAGGGTAAATCCTCCAATGGGTCCACTAGTTCTGGTGACCCTGGTAAAAACAAGGGATTCCCTTCTTTTGGAGGGATTTTCTGTAATGTTTTTGGGACAGGAAGTGAAGGGAAATTACTCCAGGGGGACACATATGACAAATAATGCTGTGCTTTAACCACCTGGGAGGATGTCATATGACGTCCTCCCACTCTAGCTGCATTTGTGCGCCCCTCAGGGGTGATTGGTGGTGCACTGTGTCCCTAGGACACAGCGGATCACCGATCGCGATATAGAACGTAGGCTCTACCATGTGATCAGCTGTGTCCAATCACAGCTGATCACATGTTAAGAGGAAATGCCGCTTATTGGCAGTCCTCTCCTCATACTGACAGCATGTGAGGGAGGAGAGCCGGTAAGCGGCATTCCTCAGAGGGGACAGCTACACTGATAATCAGGGCCCAGCCACATCAGTGCTGCCATTTCAGTGCCCATCATTGCTGCAGATCAATGCCAATCAATGCCAGATATCAGTGCCCCTCAGAGCCAAATATCAGTGTTCATCCTGCCACATAACAGTGCCCATAGGAGCTACTTTTCACTGCCCATTAGTGATGCCTGTCAATGCCCATCAGTGCTGCCTATCAGTGCCTCCTCATCAGTGCAGTCTATCAGTACCCATCAGTGCTACCTATCAGTGCCAGTCAGTGCTGCCTATTAGTGCCAGTCTGTAACAGAACCGGACCCCGACTGCACTAGGGTATTTCTGTTAGCCTCCCTGTCCGAACACAGATCCACGGACACCACTGCTGACCATACAAGAGGAGACAGCACCTTACTTGAAGGAAACCAGGAGATATATTGCTTTATTTTAACATAGATACAAGAT